AAAAGGGCGAAGGTAAGGGGAGAGATGAGCTACCTACTACTATTAGAAGATTTGTGTATGTATGTACCTCCTAAGTACCTCCCAAGTATAAGGTACTATTGAAACACCTACATATATTCAAACAAAATACATCCATGGAGCACAGAATGTACTTACCGATTTAGTAGTGGAAGGACAAGGTGACCTACCGGGAGCGATTGGATGTTTTTGGGGCATTGGCACGTAGCAGGGACAAATTGTGACCTTCAAGATCCACACCCACTTCGGCCCTTCTTCACAGGGCAACCAACATCTCAACCTCAAAAAGGGAGCCCCATCTAATTTTTCCCCTCCTCGATATGGAATTTTGGAATTTTTGGAATTTTTTCTCTCTTTTCACTTACTCCTTCCATGCTAAATTGCGGCTAATCTGAGATCCATTTTTCCCCAGAGTTCCTGCTTTCTTAGTCTCACTCAGCTAAAGCGATCTAAGCCCAAACTTCCGCTCTCCAATTGGGTTGGCTTCTATTTTCACTTTCGTTATTCGTTCTTCTCCCTTCATCCCTCTCCACCTTCCAGCCGCCCTTCACTTCCTCTGTGACTTCACAAGCCTCTTCTTCACTAAAGCTCCCGGACCTTGCATTGACCGACGACGGATTCATGCTCACGGCCATTTTTGTTTCCATCCAGTGAATCGTTTTCTTGCTGTTCACAGAACTAATGGCTCTCCCTCAGCCTTCCAAATCAGAGAAGACGATCCGCCAAATTGACATCGCCCAGGTATGTCGACTCTCCTTCGTTCAACGAACATTGTACCATACCCTCCCCGGCTTGTGTGGCTTGGAAAAAATTTGTCTGACTCATTGCTTTGGCATTTAGGTATCCCTTAGCCTTCAAGATCGGTTGGGTCTTGCCAAGGTCAAGTACCAGAATGGTCGTCTTCAGGGCCTGGACCAGAATGGTGGCCGGAACAGCCTGTCAGGAAGCGACAAACCGTCCGACTCCTCTTCCGATGTCTCCCACAGTCGATGCGAGACCCCAATGACCTCTCCCCCCTTACGGACCTCGATGTACTCGAAGGAACTACCCCGGTCGTCTCGCAATAGACATGCTGTGACCTTCGATTCCAGAGTGATGCAGCCGATGCTGTCCGCCAGCCGAAAGCGTCTCCGGTCGGATTCAATCGCAGACCACTCTGCTAAAATCCCCCGATCGTCATGGAAAAGCTCTTATCAGCTGCCCGAATCATCCCCAGGCTTCAACCGTCACCTCTTGAATCGCCATCTCCCCTTTGTCAGTGAGACGGCTACAATTCCCGAGCTCTCCTCTCCGGCATACCATCATCAGTCGGATGATGACAATGATCCGGACCTCCCAATCCATAGCTTCCAAAATGTGAGCTCCATGGTGAGCTCCTCACCTCCTCGAACTCCGCCGCCAAAGCATGCTCGGTTATCTAGAAATGATCGGACCGCACGGCATGAAGATGGTGCGGATCTGCTGCTGTATTTGGCCAACTCCCCTACTCCAGCCAGTGTCGCCGCGAAGGCTCATGGTCGGGAGTTCCCCCCATCCACCCCGCCAAGTCAGCATGCTGTTCTGCCTTCATTGACTCCAACACCTGGAGGTGGTGGCGTCTTCCCAAATTTCAGTACTCCAAACCAGCAATTCAATTTCGCTGATTTTGTCAATGTGACACCTAGTCCAGCCCAACCTGCCTGGGGTGGTCGCACGCCTGGAGGTCCTGCTAAGACCCCGCTAACAACCAGGGACAGAAGAAGGTCCCACTTGGAGAACTTGTTGCCTCCCGGTGCCGATAGCCCCAAGACGAGAGCCAAGCAAGCAGGTGTTGTTCTGCAGCTTGGTGGAGAGCTGCGGCCTTAAAACCATCGTCCCTGGTCAAAAGAGCCTTTTTCTGCTTGTTTATGCTTTTCACGACTACTTATGACTCATGTAGCACAGCTTGTGATTATCTCATGTTCGGTCAATGTCTTGATCGTCGGTCTTCACTTTATCCTTCTTCGTTTCACCTTCTTCCTCTTCCACTTTTCAAGTTCCTTACGGCTCCAAACCCCGTGTCGACTGCTACCGAATCATGCATTGCTGCCCATACATACCCTTTCTTATGTCTCGTTCAACCTGTTCTGCTAGCAAATCTTTTATGTATTCGCCTACTCACCCCTTTCAATTAATTGTCGAACGCTCTTTACCATTTCTTGGTTATTATTAGTGATTACTGGGTGAAACCCATGTCCGGTACCTTACTACAAATTTTCTGTCTAAATTTTTGTTGTATATACATTTGACATGTCAATAATCAATAGCTTAATTGATTTCAACCCGCATCGAATCCGTAGGTTTGGTAATAAAAACCCGAAGATCACCCCACTCTGAAAATCGCACCACACACAAAATTAAGGAAAACAACACGCGACAGCCGACGCGTCAAACTCAGATCCCGTGGCTATTTCGCGTTCCACCCATCCCACACTAGGATTAGCTCCATGCATGTGATCGACGCCATTCTATATCGGGATTAGCCAAGACTCAGACGTACCACTACTTTACCCTCACGTGATAATATTCAATGGATGAAGTATATGCTTAAAGGTGCTGACATGTCCATTATAGACTAGGTGGCCGATTCCATCTAGTAATGTTACCTGGATACCAGTGCGGATGGTGTTTTCATTATATAATATGCTCCTCAGCCAAAATAGAATTATTATAGCAACATGTTGTGCCGAATACATTGCCCGTTTCCGGGTGATCCAACCGGTACATTTTCAGATACATTGCTGAATCGCGTCGCATTCATTCCTCCTGCCAACCTAACCCAGCATCTGGAGCAGAGGGTCCTGATTCTTCTTTCTGGGAACGTTCGAATTGCTTCCTCCACAGCAAGGCTAGGTAATCCGACGTGGTAGCTTCATCAATGGACTTGTCCTCCCGGACGCGAAGAAACCGGGGAAACCGAAGACTAAGACCTCGCTCATCGCTCACCAGTCCGATGGCAGCCGTGTAAGTCGGGCTGAGCGTGATATCTGCAAAGGCCATCTCCCATACCTCTTGCGGCTCGAACCAAACGTCCGGCTCGCCGTAGTATTCGACGTAGCTGGGCCGTGAGATCACGTTGGCGCTGCCTTCTGTGTATTTATCTTTGTTGGCCTGGTAGAACTTGTCCGTGAAGCCAGACATGCATTTTGTGACGGCTTCGAGGCTGCCGGTCTCGGGATTCCGTACGGCTAACAGGATGGGTGACCACCATTTGGCCTTTCGGCCTTGTCCGTGCCAGCCCCCTACGGGGATCAGGTCGAGGGTTTCGGATGAGGTGCTGTAGTCCTTTTTGACTTTGAGCCATGATTCGAGTCGTTTGTCTGGTTCGTATGTGGAAAGTAAGGCCTTTCGGCGGCCTCCTTTCGTGTTTGGGTTTGACTCCGGTTTGTCTATGTCGTTGTTTGGGGTCTCCAATGGTTCCAGGTTATTTGACTTCGACGCATTGTCGAGCACCTTGACCATGATGCCTTCGCATTTGGTATCTGTTGCACTTTTGAAAAATTCAAGAACGGCCTCGGAATCGGCAGATGTGGCATCAATACTCTTCACCCATGTGAACCGGTTGGGGATTTCCACAAATAAGCTTCGTATAAGCTCTCTACGTTCGCGGAAAGATCGATCCAACAGAGGGGTTCCGTTCAGATACATCAGGTCGAACGAAAAGAGACAAACATTAATCTTGATAGTCCCTATATCAACGTTCTTTTTGGCGCGATTAGTCAAAACCTGAAAGGCTTGGAGTTCTCCCGTTCCCTGGTCAACAGCGACTACTTCACCCTCAAGTATGAAGCTCGACACGCTCTCGCCTCTAATCTGAGGAACCAGAGACACCAGGTCCGGGTATTTCTCTGTCATGTTTTCAAGATGACGGGAGAATATGGATACTTTGCCAGCCTCATCACAGTGCACCTGGGCACGCTGCCCGTCATATTTGTATTCGCAGGTAAAATCCCGTCCTTGTAGTTTCGTCAGCATTTCAGAGAGGTCCCGAGTGATGCTGCCTAACATCGGCCTCAACGGTATATGAAGTTGCAGGCCACATCGTACAAGGAGTTCTTCCGTGACCCCTATCTCGAGTAAACAGGGAATTAGGTCATTGTAATCAGGGTGTCTAGCATATGATGCCTTGACAATCTCTTCTGCATTGTTGTAAACCGCAGCAAGGTCTTCCTTCTTGAGACGAGCCAACTCTTGTTGGGAACGGATAGCAAAATCGGCGCCATCCGGCTTAGAGTACAGAAAAGCGCGTGCGAGTGCGATGAGCATGGTAGTCTTCACAGCTCCTATTCGCAAGTTTTGGACGAGAGTCCTCACAATATACCGGCTCTCTTCCGCGCCCCTAGTATCTTGTAACAGTTTCTCGACGATTCTCTGTTTATTTTCCTGGCTCCCTGTGCCCTTGCTGATGGCGATCTTTTGCAGTGACTGATATACTCCTTTGACCGTCAATGGCCTGGGCTTCATTAGAGTGAAGCTCTGTCTCTTTTTAGCTTCGAACGCCACATCGCCAGCGTCTCCAAGTTTATCATAGAGCGATTTGAGTCCTTGGCTATTGAGTCCATAGATCTTCTTCAATGCCTTGGAAATCGAAGATCCACCGAGTCCTAGCTCCAACTCATCGTACGGTGGAGAGATTGAGTTGGTTGCTAGCCATACTGCGGGGAGGACACTCGAAGGGTCGGTTTCAATGAGCACCCGCAGGAAGTTGACAAGTGTGTCTACAATTTTAATGCGACTTGTCGTGGCATTGGCAAGTACAAAGGCTCTGGTTAAGAGGGCATATGAAGCATCGCCACCTGTGGCAGCCCAGTGCCCTTTTAACTCCTCTGCATATTTCGTCGAGTCGAACGTTAAGGGACTCTGATCAAAAGGCACTGCAAGAGAAACGGTATCTTCTGTGCCGGTAGAAGACTGCAATGATAGTGTATTTCTCTTCTGTGTCTTGTTTGGCGTCTGTTCATCTTCGTCTTTGGCGTTCGACGGCGTCGAGATGGGCTCACCAGTTGGTGTCTCAGTTTCTGAAGCCGGGGCAGCATCTTGCTGATTCCATTCTTCTTGGAGCTTGCGGGCCAGAGCTTCATCGGACAGGGTTTGATCTGTATCTTCAGACACCGTTGACGGAGTCTGCTCCGCCTTATCAGCTTGCTTGGCTGCTTGGCCTTTGAAGAATGACGCTATGCTTCGATTGCGTTGGGGGGATGAGACTGGGACATCTCTCTTGCGCTTTTTGGCCGGACTAGACATGTTGTGCTTGAGTTGGACAGTACCCTTGACGTTATGTATATTGTATTCGTCCGAGTAATGGGCGCCATGGTGGCCAATTCGTTGACAGAAACAGGTGATGACGGTCGGCGGAAGCTGAAGCTGGATGGAGCTGAGCTCCGCTTTCCCGCAATTTAATTTAATTCGTCCGGAGGCGGAGTTGTCATTTAATTGTTAGCGACACCTTACATTTCATTCCCCTCTCCAACACTACCTGACAATGGCGAATCCAACATCCGCGCTGTCGCCGCATGAACGAACAAGGGTCGAAGATTATCTGAACGACAAAATTCAGGTGTCAGCTGATTTCGAAAGCCTTGACACGTTGCTGTCTAGTCTTCGCTCCCAGCATGAGCTCCAACGAAAGCAGGTATTGTTATCTTACTATGTCCATCAATGGACAACCTAATTATAACATCATCTGATGCTCTTGATATAGTTAGCAGAAGCACAGGAAGCACTATCGAAAGCGACCAAAGCCTCTAGCGACCATGCCGAAGCCACTCGAAAGCGTGCCGAGGCGTTCAATGAGCGACAGGTGGATATCGATAGGCGGTTGAAAGTTCTCACCGGGTCGGATGCGAGTGACGAAGCGGCAAAGCGATTTGAAGCGAGTATAGAAAAGCTGCGTAGGCTGGAGCTGTCAAAGGGATATGTGTCCCTGCTTAAGGAAGCGGAGGAATTGAGGTATTTGAAGCAGTGATCCCGTCGGAACAGAGCACGGATCGCTAAGAGGATACACAGCAAGGATGCCTTAAAAAGCATACAGTCTTCACCCAAATCGGCCATCAAACCATACACCCGGCTAAGGACCATCGTCCAATCCTTGAAAGAAGCCCAGCCTGCAGCAGAAGGGGCTGCCCCTCACCTGGTCGACTATGTCGGAAAGCTAGCATCTGCATTGAGAGATCATATGAAAACCGACTTCACTAAGCGGCTACAGGGAACATTGGAGGAGATGAAGTGGCCGTCGAAGGATCTGTATCTTCCGGATAATCTACGAGCACAGTGGAGAGAATATGTGGAATTACTCCTCGACCTTCAGACACCGTACGTATCAACCACTGTTTTATATTTAGTGCGCTAACATATTTATGCCAGTGAACTTCACATCCGTGACATTTCGAGAGAGAAGTCCGTCAAGCCTCCGATCTTGCTACCGCTGGAAGTGATGGTACATCCACTGGAGCTTCGCTTCAAATACCACTTCAGCGGGGACAGGCCAACAAATCGGCTTGACAAGGTAAGGATTGTCATCTAATAGATATTGGAATACTGTTCTAACTGGGCTTCCAGCCGGAGTATTTCCTTGCTCATGTGACAGACTTAATTAACAATTTCGGCGGGTTTTTTGCTTCGTCTTTGCAGCCTATCTTTGACGAAAAGGCAGAGACTGTCGGATCTGATTTAAAGTGGAATTTCTACAACGCCTCGCATGCCTACATTACGGCCCTTTTGCCGGTTCTGAGACATAAGATAACCACATATTTGCCCCAAATCTCAAGCCATCCGCAGTTGCTGAGTCACTTTGTCCACGAATTGATGAATTTCGACAACGAAATACGCGAATCATGGAATTACCTACCGGACCCTTATACTGACGATAGTTGGAAGGGCGTGACATGGGAGGTACTAACCGAACAAGGGTGGTTTGAGCGTTGGCTTCAGGTTGAGAAAGATTTTGCACTGGCACGCTATAAGGAAATTGTAGATGAGCCGGATAGCGGTCATATTGATTATGACGGTGTGGATCGCTCAGCGACAAAACCAACTAAAGCTGCGATCCGTGTCAATGATCTTCTTGAGACAATAACTGAGCGTTACCAGCCTCTGTCGTCATTCAGCCAGAAGTTACGCTTTCTTATCGACATCCAGATCACTATATTTGACCAATTCCATGAACGCCTGCATTCTGCGCTGGAAGCCTACCTTGCAATGACGTCAACAATCGGTCGCACAGTGCAAGGGGCCGATGGAACTAGTGTGGAGGGTGTTGCAGGGCTAGAACGGCTCTCCAGGGTATTCGGAAGCGCTGAATATCTTGAGAAGAAAATGGAAGACTGGAGTAACGAAGTATTCTTCGTAGAGCTTTGGTCCGAACTTCAAGAACGGGTCCGGCAGAACAAGGACGGCGGCAAGAACGTAGCTGGCTCGATGTCTGTTGCGGACGTTGCGTCGCGCACATCCCAGGCTGTTGCGAATGGTACCGATCATGGGGAGGCCTCGGAGGGCGCCCTGTTCGATGAAACAGCATCCGCCTATCGTCGCCTGAGGCTCCGGTCCGAATCCGTCATCACCTCGACTTTAACTTCAAACATGCGCACCGCCCTTAAACCTTACTCTCGCGTTTCGACTTGGGCAACCATTTCTGCTAGTTTGGCATCTCCTTTACCTCCGACTTCGGATCTTGCGCCGGCAATGCGTACTCTATCTACCGAGATCTCATTCCTTTCTCGCACCTTGGGCATTGCACCCTTGCGTCGTATCATCCGCCAAGTGCTTCTGTCCATCCAGACCTACATCTGGAATAATGTTCTCACAAGGAATATGTTCTCCGCTGCAGGGGCAACTCAACTGATAAGCGATGTTGAGCATCTCTGCAATGTCATTGACGTGGCCCTTGGACCGGCTGCCCAGGTTGGCAGCTCAGCGAATGTGCTTAGGAAACTTAACGAGGGTCTCACCCTTCTCGGATTGAGTATCAGTGGGTCGAAGGTAGCAGAGGACGGGTCTGCATCGCAGGAAAGCGATCAGCAGGGAACAGCGCCTTTAGGACTGTGGGACGTAGAGAAGAGGTTGTTCAAGGACAACGAAAGCGCAAGGGTCGTCCTTGGTGAATTGAACATCGAAACTCTTTCCGAAGCGGAGGCGAGAAGTGTTCTGGAGAGGCGAGTCGAGATTGGTAGTTGAATTTAGCGACGTTGCATTAGTGAGTGATTGCTGGAACTGACATGCTTCTACTTTAGCTTGCATGAGATATGTAGATATGAATCTAGTGTACCTAATAATTTGAGCCCTGCGGCGTTAATCAATCATTGTAGTATGTACTCTAAAATGAGAAAATCTATGGAAGGGATGCGAAATAGTGCTTTTAGGTAGCCCTGACAACCAAACGTACAAGATCCTGCTGAAAGTGTCCTGCCCGGAGAGACGTTTTCAGCTCGTTACATATAACTTAATCGCTCTGGTTTCGGCTTAAAAAGGGAAAATTCAAGGGTGGTTAACAACTGGACCGTGACCCCTTTCTCCCGGTCTGTTAAAGTTCCTTGGAGCATTCTGCACCTTCATGTTCTCAATTATACCCGGACCAACCTCTTCAATTGCTCGCAGAAGCGCCTCGACGGTCTCCTTTGTAGTCTGCACATTGACTACGCAACGGAAGAACTTCCCATTCCCGACGGCATCCTCATCACCGCTGGGTGGCGCAAAGTCAACCATGAAGCCCTTGTTCACAATCGCATGCGTCACCTGCTCGGTGACCTTGCTGTTCGCTTTGCCGCGCTCGGCTTCGTCCGAGACGATGCCACGAGGATGGAGGAATTGCCCGCCGGGGGCGTAATAGAAGCAAACTTGAAGGCATGGAGGAGGATTCTCACTGACGAGGATGAAGTTCGGGTTCTCGGCGACGAGGGTTGCGAGATGCGCCGCAATGTCGCAGGCAGTGTCGATCTGCTTCTCGTACCCCGCTGTCCCGTAATAAGTCCAGCCGAGGAAGAGCTTGAGGGAATCGGCGCGTCGACCGCACTGGAGGGTCAAATCTGCCAGATCCCATACTTCGGGTGAGTCAACGCCGAGTTCGGACTCGACGGTGCCATTGCAGCCGTTGGCTTCGGGAAGCTCGGTGTCTTCGTTGTGGAACAGGTACCCAGCAGGGAGGGTGTTTGCACGGTGGAAGCGACGCAAATCAGCCGCAAGGAGGAACGAGCAGGTCACCGGCACACCGAGCATTTTGTGAGGGTTGATCGCGATGCTGTCTGCCTTTTCTGCGCCGGCGAGCTTCTGTCGCTGGCGTTTGGAGAAAACAAACGAGCCACCCCAGGAACCGTCAACATGGAACCACAGATTGTATTTCTTGCAGATGGCGGCGATTTCGTCAAACGGGTCGAAAGATCCCATGACAGTTGTTCCCGCTGTCGCATTGACGTAGAACGGGGTACGGTTCTCCTTTAGAGCTTTTCGGACTAGGTTCTCCAGCTCCGCTGGAATCATGCGTCCTTGCGTGTCGATAGGTACAGACCAAACCGAGCTACTCCCGAGTCCTAGCATCTGTGCTGCCTTCTCAATGCTGTAATGGCCATGGGCGCTGGTGAACAGCACAAATCGGTAATCACCGTTCCCGTCTCTTTTCGTGGCAGGGAAAAGATTGTTGCGCGCAATGACAATCGATGTTGTGTTCGAGGCAGAACCACCTTGGACCGATATTCCTCCTGCTCGTGGACCGTTGAGTCCAAAAAGCGAAGCCAGCTGTTTCCCGGTGAACTTCTCAATGACAGTCAACGCAGGCGAGACCTGGTAGACGTGGACGTTTGTGTTCAAGGCGGCCAAGATTAGCTCGGAAGCTACGCCCGGGGCGTTGGTGGATGCATACAGCTTGTCAAGGAAGCCCTGATGCCAGGTGTTGACTGAGTATCTCAAGACCTTCTGCAGGGCCTCGACCAGGCCATCTTGTCCCGTTCCTTGCTCTGGCAGTTCCAATTGAAGAATGCTCTGCAGTTCGTCCGGTTTCTTGTGGTCCACTAACGAAGTACCCGATGGTTTGACGTTGTTATGACTGCCGTTGGTTCCATTGACGCCATTTTCCAATGCCTTCTGGCCTAGGGGATCTTCATCTGCAGACCGGATAAAGGGAATCAAGAGGTCTTCGACCGCACTTAGAAGCTAAAAGAACATATCCATTAGTACTGAGAGCAATTCCTCTCAGAAGCTTGTGGGATTCTCTCCACAAACTAGCAAGCGCATTCTGACTCACACTTTGCACTTCTTCCGCGCGGCGGGACGGGGAGGAAACCGCCATCTATGACTGATTGTAATCTTGGAACAATATATAAGATAAGATAAGAGAGAAAGAACTCAGCTACAGGGAGA